TTCATTAATGTGTTCGGCCTTAGGATAGTAAGAATGGATACATCATTGCCATTTTATAGATGAGGAGATGAAATCCCTTCTTTAAGATACAGGATAAGAAAGTTACCCATTTTACTGCAGCAGTCAACTTCAGACATGACAGCAAAAAGCATAGCACAGAAACTCACAAATGCAGTCACCCAGCTGCCTGCACCAGCAGCCTGCTGGGCATCCTGGTCCAGCTTTCTCACACTTGCCAGACCAAGGCAATTATCTCCTTGTGCCCATCTACAGAGCAAGATTAAAGAAAAAACACACCATTCAAGCTCTGAAATCAGTCAGTACGTATCCACCAAACACTTGAGTATCTTCTCGAGCTTTGGTATCCAAAGAGTAGTAGAAGAGTTTGAGAACTTGAGAAGAGAAATGAAGTCCTGCCACAGCTTCGTACAATACCCCCATGGATGCCCATCAGGACAGAAATGCCTTCCTCTCAGCCATTCATCCTGAGCACACAACCACAACATGGTGAAGTTGGATGTCCAACACACGATTCAGAACTCCTGCACAGATACCTAAGTGTGAAGTGTGAGTAGTCCTGTGAAAATCAGGAGTTATCATCAAGTTTGACAACCATTTTTTGTTTATTTAGTTATTTAACAAGAAGCAGCCAAGTTCCTGAACTTGGCCTGCATCTGATTTAGACGTGCCCATGATTAGGACATCTTGCCTCTTCTCACTTGCATCATTTTCAAGTGAGACTGTTTCTTGTTCAAGAGCCACAGTTTCTCTTTATGATGCCCATTAAAAATGACAATGCACTACATTATGAATATGTTTCAATTAAGAAGGGGGAAGCTAATAACTTTGCAGTGCTTTCTGAAGATCCAAACAACTGTTCTCATTTCACAGCTCACTGATTCTTCAGAAGCAACAGAAAGTCCTGGAAATAACATGGCAGTACTATTAAACTAGCTCTGCCTTACAGCCATTACATTTTTCTTACGCTTCAACACGAAAGCAACCCATTTGGATGATTAGCTATGAAGAATAAAACGAGCAGTTCTGACCACCTCGAAGACTTTTTTCTTTTTTCTTTTTAACTACTGAGCTGCTCTTTATTTTAAAGCCAAAAGGGAGCTTACAGTTTGCAAACTTGCATCACTTATGCTTGCATACAGGCACTGTCTGCATGCTATCCCTAGGCCAGCCAGGAGGAACCACCCGCTGCTTTTGACCATCTCCTGTGTTACAGGTCAACTGCAAATGCAAAATAAGATTAATTCACACAACGTGACAACAACAAATTAAGTGTGGAGTCATGGCAGACCCTCTTGATCTTCCTCAGAACTTCAGAATGACAGCACAGTCAGCCCAGTTCCACTACTAATACACAGTCATGATGACTGACCCTATCAGACACAAAGAGATGGAACAAATCGTTCTACAACAGAGTGCACAAAGCACTGAGACTTGAGTACTCACTGCAGAGTTGTACAGCAAAGAGAAGCCAGAAGCTATTTTCTCCTCCACTGCCGCAATGTTTATAGCCCCGTCATACTTTTATTTACAATACACAGCTACAATCTTTGTATGCTAACGCTTATATGGTTTGTCTCTCCAAGCTCATCCCTTCTCTCACATTTTTCCTTCCAGCTACAGAAAAATTGATTCCACAAAAATATTTATCTTCAACCTTTGTCTGATATCTTCTTGTCATGGAACCTGATAGTTTTAGATGTAAATGCTTCATTAACTTCCAGCTACTATTTTCAGGTTCATATCTTGCTCATTCTTACCAAGAATCACAGGAAACTGACCCTCAAATTTTGTTTATTTTGGCCTCAGCCAAAGGCCTTGATACACTGAAATAAAGGAAGTGGGAGGCAAGACATTGAAAAAAAGGGATTGTAAAAGGGGCTTATAAAAGGAAGGGGAATCAACTTTTTACTTGGATAGATAGTGACAGGACAAAGGGGAATGGTTTTAAGTTCAGGGAGGAAAGGGTTAGATTGAATGTCAGGGGGAAATTCTTTACAGAGAGAGGGGTGAGGTGCTGGAACAGCTGCCCAGAGAGGCTGTGGAGCTCCGTCCCTGGAGGTGTTCAAGGCCAGGTTGGATGGGGTCCTGGGCAGCCTGGGCGAGTATACCAGGTCTAGAGGTTGGTGGCCCTGCCTGTGGCAGGAGGTTTGGAGCTTGATGATCCTTGGGGTCCCTTCCAAGCCAAGCCATTCTGTGATTCTATGTCACAAAGCTTGTTCAGATTCAAAACAGAGTGTCTGCAGTTAAGGAAAGCCTGCCCTGACATCGTTTCACTTCTCAAATTATAGTTAGGAACCGAATATTAAAACCACACACCAAGCCAAGCTTCAGAAGGCCCATTTTTTTTTTTTTTTTTTTTTTTTTTTTTTTAAATCTTAGATAGAAAGCAGTATTTGCGAGGCTCTCAGACCAGCCATGTCTGCAGCCCATGGCCCCAGCTGCCCCTAACCAGTCCCATTCTGTTCTGCCACCCTCACTCACTGGGCTGTGTTTCCTGGCAGCAACCCCTCCTCTGGGTGAGCCAAGACAAACTGTGCACTGCCAGTTACACAGCACGGAAAGCAGCAACAGAGGTACTGCCCCAGCAGACTGCAGCTGGACCTGGTCTCCAAATGCCAGCTATGGGTAACAGCACAGCAGTTACCTTTAGTGCTTGCACGCTGTTATTTCGGGTTAGCTTTCAGGATTCAGTGGCCACCTGGACCTGCATGTTTGTAGTGTAGGAATGAAAATGAAACAAAGGTGATGTGCGGTGCCAGATGTGGAGCATGGCTTCTCTCTGCTCAAACAAAACCAGTGTACCTCAAACCAAGCCAAAGCACTAACACCATCATTCAGGGCACCAAAGCACCTCCAGAATTTACTCTGTTTTGTCTGTGACATGCACAAGTTGTGTCTTCGCTATGCAGTGTAACTCCTGCATGTGCAATGCATGCATAGCAAACAGATCTGCTGTCACAAAGTTCAGATCAGTCAGCTGAATTAAGGACAGCAGTCAGGAGACAACCAGTCACAGACTCATGAATTCAGTCGGTAGCATTACCTTGTTTCCTGCCTCCTGAATCACTCAACCAAAAACTCTTTCCTAAAATTCCCCATTAGAAGCAGGGTTCCTTGAGCCTGAGCATGCATCTTGGATATTTCAAAGCTGGCTTTCAAAATGTTCAAAAAATAATAAAGAAAAAAAAAGAAGTCCACAAACCCAGATCACATTGTAGCTGGAAATAACTCCTGTTCTAAAGCTTTTTCCAAACTTCAATTGTCATTTTTGAGATTTTGCTACATCATTTCTTAAATATTAAAAAACGGCTAGGATCATAAATCTTTCCAATCTAGGTGACAGAAGCAGGCTTCATCTTAGGTAACTGCTAGACCCTTAAAGCTAAATCTAAGTCAGCTTTGCGTGCTCTCTTCTGCATCAGTAATAACTGAAAAAGTACAATGACTGGAGAATCATCTGTAATCTTCAGACAGCTTAAACTCCCTGAACTTGCTAGCTTCAAATCTTTTACTACAAGCAAGCCTGAATGACCAGCTCAAGGTGAAACAACTAATTATTAAGTTAGAAAGCAGAGTGGAGAAGATCCCGTGCTTGTTTCCAATACTCAGGACACTCCGCGTTCTTGCTGAATTAACTCACTACAGTTCCTTTAGTCTATCAATAAGGTGACCTTCCTCCCTCTCACTGTAGGGCATCTACCAGTAACATCCAGGCTGAATGTTCCAGTCATCACCATGGCCAGCCCATCCTCTTCACACTCTATACTAATAACAATCCAGCTTATCAGAGGAGGGAATGGTCAGGAGGAAAAGGGTCCTTTATTTTTAAACATGAAGTACCATATTTCCAGTGCAGAAGGGGAAAAATAAATACTTGGGCTTTTTAGATGAACTGGATATCAATAACAATCAGGCCACAGCAGCAAAAACTTTATCACTCATTGTAACTTCATTGCTGTATTTTGCAGTTGAGTTGAGCCTATGTCACTGCAGCTATGCTCTGCTGGAAACGACCTTCTTGTGCTCTAAAACTCCTTATGCAGGAGGATCTGGTTTTTGGCAAAGATGACCTGCATGCAGCTCAGTAGTTTTCAGCAGCATCTATCCAACAGCATGCTCCAGCATTTCCCATCTTCTTCTCTGTAAACCATCAATACTTTCAATACTTCCAGCAAGCAAACCACATCTTCTGGAACACAACTGAACAGAAGGTTAGACACTCTATGCCCTAAGAGAACAAACGAATCAAGTTCTGAAGCTCACTGAAGACCCGTAATCATTCCATCTCTATTTCAGGCTTAAGTAGCTTCATAACAAGACACCAGATAACTTTTATGAGAAGAAAATGACATGTTTTATACATTTGTACACACATGTATACGCACACATGCATACGCACACATGCATATATAAGCACATATTCACACAACAGAGTCCTCCATCTTCTTCTCCTCTCCTGTGCTCTGTGTTTCCCACTTTCTTCTCCCGGATCTCCCCTAAAGCATACTTCTCTTGCTTACACGCTCCCTCTCTTCTTCTGAGGCTGTGCCCTTCAGCCTCACATCCTGCAGGACATAACACAAGTTCCCCACAGGACTCCTATCTGTGTCTGAAGGAAAGGACCACTGGTAACAGCACACTCTCAGAACTCTTTTTTCTTAGAAGAAAAAAGAAACCGAACCCCCACAAACATTGAATATTTATAACACTTGCAGTCCAGAGTACTTCCATAAATCTTACCCAAAAGACCTAACAGATTTCTAAACCAAAAAGCCGCACGAGAGAAGTAGGAGAGCAGCTTAAGACAAATCCATGGGGATGTGGTAAAGTGGCTGTAGTGTATGAGAAAAGTCAGTCCCTTCAGCTGTAGTCAGTCTCAGTATTGTGGTTTCCTGGTTTCAGCAATTAATCTGAAAAAGGACAGCACTCTTTCATACCTTACCATTTATGGTTACAGAAAGCTTCTCAATAGGGGAACTAAGTTATGAGTTCGGCCACAGTAAAGCAAACCCAGAGAAGCACAGGAAAGAAAAAAAAAACCTCCGCTAGCTCCACTGCTTTATGGTGCAACACCTTTCTGCCCAACAAGTCTGTCACATAACAGGAGTTGTCCTTCCACAGCAAAGGCAGCATTTCACCAGAAACAGTAAGTATATTTTTAAGCAATTTTTGTTTTCCTTGTGAGCGAACAACAGCTTTCCTTTTTGGCAAATATAGAGCTCTTGAAAGCAACCGTCTTTCTAAATCTCCAGCACTACAGAGGAAACCCACCTAACTTTTCTGTAGCACGGGCAAGTTGTAACTGTATGCTAATAATTATGGAGAATTATCAGACTGCAAATACAATGGTTGTTCTTTCCACAAAATCCAGAATCTTAAGAGTTTGCAGCCCTCATAGGATCTTTGCTCTTTGGAGTTTCATGGCTCTGGGTGCTCCACACTCCATAGCATTCCTTCAGGGACCGTGCTTGATCTATCCCCAGGGAAGTTAGAGACGAACCACACTTGAACTCTAGGACTTCTTTGAAAATTACTTTTAAGCTGAATAACTTTGTACAGTTCTGCACTACAGAGAAACACAAAGCAGCAGTCCACAAAGAATTCAGAAGTGCTAAACTGATCAAAGGGCTTTTTTTCTTTAAAAACTACCAAGTATAAAAACTAACATGCATATAATCTTAGACTCCACTCATTTTTAAACAAAAAAACTAAATTCACACTAGTGTCAAAGTAGCTAAGCAGTCCTTAAGTAAATTGGTATGATGTATTTTGTAAAAAGGATGCAATTGTATGGCATTATGCAGTTTTAATACTGAATCTTACAGTAGAGCACTGCAGAATCTGCTTTTACATGCAAATTTACACTGAGGTTCAGTAGTAGTCTATTCTGTGAGATGCATCATGTTTGCAGTCGTAGGTGTGCAGAATACACTGAAAGTAATGGACTCTTATATTGCAACAAACAAGATTGGTGCCCTCTGGCCCCAGCGTCACCTGGGAAGGCAGACCTGTTACCAGTACAATGTTTATAAATGCTAAGAAAGGAAATGGGGGAGAGGGAGGGAAGGAACCAAGTGCCAGAGTGAGTGCAGGTCTAACTTGAGGGATGTATGTGGGGGGGGCAAGTATGGGAGTGGAGCAGAGCAAGAAGAATCTACAGCACTGAAAACACTCATAGGAACTAATAAGCAAATGCCAGTGATGAGCTTAATTCTACTATGAAACACTAGCAAGTACATAAGGCATACAGCTCTGCCACAGCAGAATAACCAATACAGAACTTATATTTACAGACTCAGATTTACAATTGCCTTTTGGCTCCCGCACCAAGAGATGCTATGGATGCCCCCTGGATAATGCTGTTCCTGAGCTCAGAGCAGCCTGGCACAGCCTGAGACAGAGGCCCTCTACCTTTTACCATCCCATGGCACTGGGAACTCCTCAAGAGATGGCAGAGGAGGCAGGGGCTTCCCACTGAGTACCAGGCACATCTGTTAGTCAGAGCAGGGGACTGTGTTCCAAACCTGAGCAGATGGCATCTTTAGGATTATCACCAGCAGCTGTCAGTGCAGTGATTATGCATTGAAATTGCACAGCTAATGTACTGTATAATTTAACTAGACTGAGGGAAAAGAAATATCAGGGAGAAGGAACATTATGAGAAGATTTGGAGCTTGTATTTTCCTAATAATTATGGAGGCACCCTGCAATCTTCAGTGCAGAAGACACATTCAGATTTGCTCTTGAAGGACAGACTAAAATCTCCATTATATACTCCAAACATCTCCCAATCCAAATACACTCAGACTTCCTGGGCCAATTGAGTCCTCAGCAGTGCTTCGTTTTTCAGAGACTTAATGACTTTTTCAAAGGAAACACTTAACGAGCTCTTTCAACATTCCTCCTAACGTGCACTGGTGGGGCCAGAAGATTGGAGAGAAGAAATATTAACCTTTTAAGCACTGGTGAAACTCTAAATAAATTTTTCTATATGTACACACAGGATGATTCCACAATTTCCCAGTGTAACTGGGACAGCTATGTAAATGCTGTAGCTCGAGAAAAACTTGGAGAGTAACAGCATTAGAGACAGAGCTATCCACAAGTCACACTGAGGGCACCAATTTTTCCACTCTTTCCCACAGAACTGATTAAAGATTCATCATTCTTACTGCATGTAAGAATTGCTAGCAAGGCAGGCCTCCTGTTCGCTGTCACCAGGCTCCCACTGTGCTTGGAGGACCACACAGTTTCAGGGCCCATGACCCCTCTGTTCCAAGTTGCCCCCTGACCAAGCTGCACAACCTAACTTAACAGTATTAGCTCACATGGACTGCATGGACTTCTTGTGTTAAACTCCAGCTCCAGTAAGCAGGTCACATCCATCTTACTGCAGTTTCCAAGTGAAGATTCTTCCCTTCTAGAACACCAGTGTGTTATACACAATCATCAGAAAGACAGTGCCCTTAAGAAAGCTGTAAGACACATCCTGAGTGGTCCTTGATGTTCTATTTAAAAGCAGAATTAACCAGAGTTCTGGACAAAATTCACTACTCCAATGATAACAACTCTTTTTCTTCCTAATGATCCCTCAAAACATTTAGATATTATGCGTTGTTATCTGAAAATATACACAAATAAAAATTAAGATCTCAAACTACGTCTTAACACTTTCATCAATGAAAAACACAACTAATGAGAGCAACACTCGAATTATACCCACACTCTTTCTGTACAGGGCTGACGGTGCCTTTCTCTTGCCTTTTCCCAGCCATGCTGACCCAGCCCAGCCCTGCTGGCATTGCCTGCTCATGGGTAACAAGAGCAGACATTCACAACTTAGGCTTGTGGCTACCTTATGCTTTACCTAAACTCACATCTTTTATTTGCTCCATGGATTAGCTGAGCACAGGTGGATTTCAGTGGGTACCATGCCACACTGAACACCAGCTTGCAAATAAACACCAAACAGCTGCGCACAACTAAAACCAAAACCCTGAGAATGCCTCCGCCTCTGCATGAAGCCGTCCACTACTGTTTTGCTAATGAGAACAAGACAAGATCTGTTGTGCCACTCATATAACATTCTGCCCTTCTCCTGCACTGCTTTCTTCTCCTCTGTGCCCAGAAACCCACACACATCTTGCCAGACAGTTTTTTCCCTACCTGTGGCTTGTACCATGTTTCAATTAAAAAAGCGAATGCTCAAACCTTTAGTTACATCTGTCAGTAGGACACAGATCCTGAAGGTGGGTTGAACTCTTGTGATTGTTATGTCTCATTTTGATAGCAATACCATAAAACAATAGTACTGATTTAACAGCGTATGGAGTCACAGCAAATACCATCAGATTCCCTACTACAAAGTATCAGCAAGGTAACTGGAAATGCTGTTTAGCAAGGGAGCACAGTGAGATGCCAGGCTCCCCCGTGCTCTGTGAGTTCCCAGTATGACACCAACACTGCTGGGCTTGTCCCCATCTATGAGTGCCAGCAGCAGTCACTGCCCTGTGACTGTGGTGGAGCAGCAGCAGCCCTCACTGCTGTCTTCTCTGATCCTGTCCAATTGGGTTTGGTGGCATCACACTCCCTGTGCCACTAAAATGCAGCTTTTCTGCCCCATATAGTTGGATAGCAGGCTTAATACATCTCCAAATGGACAAGACCATCAAAGCCACAGATCTCATTTTAAATGTAATGCTTTTTTCAACTCTTTCAAAATAAAAAAAGGGATGCACTTCAGGCTAAACCTGAAGACACAATGGGAAAAATGGAAAAAGGGCTCTACTTTGGGAGAATTTTCCCTTCATGCAGCCATTACCAATGCACAACACAAAGCACCTCTTACTTCAGGCAAGAAGTACCGTCAAACAGACCAAGTTAAGGCTAAAGACAATCCAGCTGTTCAAACTCCCTCAGATCATAACGACAGTTTCCAACTCCCACCCCCAGCCTTCCCTCTCTGCTTTCTTCACCCATCACTTTATTAAGCAGTACACAGTTTGTGCAACAAGATATTTCAGAAATCATTCAACTGCAATACTGATAGCCAATTCTAATCATGATTGTCTCTCACAAAACAGGATCAGAGACATTCCAGACTTCCTAACACCTAAATCATGTTGGCAAAAAAGCTGGTGACTGCACAGAAGCGAGGAGAGACAAGGGCCCTATGTCTGGGACTGGGAATGGTCGCGTGCTCCATGATGATGTACTTCTTCATTGGGATTACAATTGTGCCATTCTACACTAAAAGGTAGTAAATCATTTGATTATGAATACAAGGCTGTTTCTTCTTTGCTGTCTTCAAACACAATTATTAAGAGAGTCAAAATATACGTTAGTACACTGAATAATGAATAAATATTACGTTCTTAAAGAGCTCACAAGAATGGAAGACAGAAGTAAGAAAAGAGCGAGCCATTAAGTGAGGCACTTAAAGGTAAGCACACAAAAGAGGGCTAGGACCATCCTCAGGGCTAGAATCAGAGCAGACTAAACCAAAACATTTACTATGAAACCATATAAGATAAAAACCAGTCATGCTTATCAAAGCTTGAAAATGAAAAATTAAGTCTTCCATAAATGTAAAACCCATTAAAAAAAAAAAAAACCATAACCATACTTTTCAGTGGTAGAGGCTTATAAGAGAAGTAATGGTAAATTTGTTTGGTCAATCAGACGTATCTTGCCTCCAGATCAACCATCATGAGAAACACCTTCAGCAGCCCAGCCTACCACAACAAATACTGCCGAATATGTTGAATGCCAACAAGGCTACAATTACTCACATTTGTATTTCATTGCACAAGTTCTGCCTCTATATATAAAATCAATTTGCAAAAAACTGAGTGTACTAAAACCAAGAGTTTACTAAAACCAAGACTTCAGCAGCTCATTTTTCCATGCATGAAGATTTTGACAGAAGTACATCCATTGTTTCTTTCTTTGTAGCAGCACCTTCATACTCAGAAACCTCAAGGCATATATATATTGGCAGATATCAATGCTGCTTTTCATACCACAAAAACAGAACAGCCAGACTTCAACATTACCTTATGTAACAACATCACAGCTGACAACATTCCCTAATGGATTCAGAAAAGCTGTTCAAAGCCATGCTATGAGATGTGAAAAACATTAACAAAAGACACGTAAAAAAAAATAGTTTCTTAAGAGTGCTAGGATGGGCAAAGCTCACTGCATTGGTGATGAGCAGCCCCGAGCTCTGCCTGCGCTAACCCATCAGTGGCACCCAGAGATGAAGCTCCAATGTATAACAACTCACAGCTGATGCCACAAAAGCATTCAAAAGCAATGCCTTTTGTTTTGGTTTTGTAGTGTTTGGACAACAGAAACCATATGCAAGGTCCTCAAAGCCAACATCAAGGACAAAGCCCTCTGCCCCAACAGCGAAAGCTCAGAAGATGAAGATATCTTTCACTACCCTTGCCTACAGGTGTGGGTTAATCTGACAGCCTCAGGACAAGAGGTCATGCTGTATCACACTGAAGATACCCTGGAAAGAAATCCAAAGGTATTCAGAGCACATTCCGTTCTCTCTCGGCTGCTATTCAACACCTCTGATTCAATGGGAGCAGTAAGAGCAGGGCGCACAGCTTTGCAGCCACGCAGCAGAGCACAAGTAGTTGTTCAGCTTTCACACACCGATGCCCATGCTTAGACCAAGGAATGCTTAAAGTGCTTCAGAACATACAAGGGGCTTCGACTTTTTTTTTAAACATTACATCAAACGTTAAGTTAATACTTATTAAGCAGTTGTACCAACTGATCATGAATATTTAACATATATGAATATTTAAACATATGCAAGTCTCTGAGTTGAAGACAAATGGTACTGTAACATAAAAGTGACAGTCCCAGTAGCTGGACTTTCATTCTGAGCATGTTAATGGTTTCTAGCAACATTATTCCAATCTGTTAGTCTGCAGATTTGGAGCATACATGCACCAGCAGACAGCAGGGAAATAGGGCAAATGTCTCATGGACAAAAGCACACCCAGCCAATCTTGGGATACCAGCCTAACCACAGGAGCTTTTGTCAGCACCAGCATGTTTGTTTTACTCAGTGCAACTTCACTATAAATCCTGCATTACAGCATCTGTCATAACAAGTCATTTCAATTTCTCCTTCCAGTGCTCGTATGTCCCCAGCAACTCCGAGAACTCCAAAGAAGTGAAAGCACGAATAGAAACAATTGCAAACAATTTAAAAAAATATCAGACTTTCCCATGCTACTATGACCCAGGAGGAATGCAGACCAATGTCATTTTAAGCAGACTTTATCCCCCCAAAGGCCTCCTCTTCACTTTCCTTTGGCCCACGCTCATGTTTACCGGTGGATGTCTGATTATTGTCCTGGTAAAGATCAGCCAGTATGTTTCTGTTCTTTCTGCTCGGCAGTAGAAAGTAAATATCTTGCGAAGACTGTTGCTACCTATTAAAGTGCCTTTGTTCTGTCTTGGCATTCTGTGACTTTTCAATACACCAGGAGTCAGCAGGTGGGCAGGCTTTCTAGGCAAACTGAACGATGCTCACTGCAGATGCATGCTAACAGAAAGATGTTTTATGTTGAAGATATGTTTGTTTCTAGACTCCTAGTCATGTTCTGAGGCACATATAGGTAGATGCATTTCCTGTTCTCTGAAAACAACCCTAAACCAATTTCCACATTGCTACCAGACACAGGGAGAACATAAGTTGCACCCTGCATGCCATGTTTGACTGGCATCTGGAACACAACTAACACAAGTTTGTGCATCATTCACAGTGGTCTGATTTATGAACCACTCAGGACCTGTCATTCACAAGAAAATTTCAGGGCATGGATAGAAATCTAAATGTATGAAATCTTAGTTGTAAGAAATTAATGTACTGCAATTCTCTGTTGTTAAAAAAAAAAAAAAAGTTGATATGTTAAACCATTATAGGCATTTTCCAGCATCACTACTGGAACAGCAACAGAATTTGTGTTTCATTACAATCAGAAAATTGAAATCAGACCAGAGTACTAAAAATTAATTATTAACATCAGCAACGCTCCTTTAACATGTAGAATCATGATGGTTATTGGTAATCTCTACAGGGAAGAAGATTTAATCCACCCTTTTAAAATTCAGACTTTGAAAGAGGTGGGAGACGTGGAGGGGGTGTAACAACATCTACTGTAGGAGGAAAAAATATTTCCACGAGAAGAAAGTATTTACATCTTCATAGAACACTTTGTTGAAATGCAGTGTGTGAAGCAGTGCATATGTACAGTTCTGATCCTTCCCAAGGTGGAAGCGCAGCTGACAGAGGCAGGGGAGATTTGGATGACCAAAAGCGTTCGTTATGAGATGGGAAGGGATGAGATCCTGCCTTTTTGGTTTACTCAAAGCTAAGGCAAGGATACAATAACTGCTTAAAAATATATAGCTATTTAACAGGGATACATCTGCTGAAGCTAATGTGCTGTACTGGTACAAAATGAGGCAAATAGACTAACTGTAAATAGGTTTACCCCAAAATTCCTTTTCAGCAGTTGAAATATCTTCCATTTGAAAGCTTGAAATCACTCACAACTACTCCATACTTTCTCACACCACAGGTAAGCCAATCACCTAGGCAAGTCCCTGCCAGCTTGTCCCCCAGCCCAGCAATGCTGGTGAGCAGTGGCTCTTTCTTGCAGCAGCCCCTGACCCCCTCATATCCCATAGCTCTGAGATGCTCAGGAGTCAGTCACTTGTCTCAGAAGAGCAGATGCTCCTGATCTCACTGAACTTGAAGGCCAATGAAAAGCGTAAAGGCACAGAACTTGTGCTGCAGATCCCAGCTCAGTTTCCTGACACCAGCTCAGGAACCCATCCATCCATCCCACCTCCTCGCTCATGGTTACCCCTGACAGCAGGAGCTGAAAATTTATTCAGAGCTCTTCCAGATTTACCTCTACCAAAAACAGAGGACTAAATGAAAACTGTTATTTCCCTCCAACATGTACACATTGCAAGTACATGAAAAAAAAAAAATCTTACACAACCATCACAACTTCTTCCTTCAATGAAATACCATTTTCCATTTGGGTAGGAGATATTCAGAGTGAAAGCAGCAAGTGCAGGAGAAAAACATGCATACACACATCTTTGTTATTCTGTACGCTTTCCAAGTCCGTATTAACAGGGAGAGGGGTTCAAATGCAAGAAGTCAAAAACTCTTTCATAGAAAACAAATATATAGGTGTCACAGATGTCTGCTCTTATTTTAAAATAATGCATTGTTCATTAGGCATAGTTATCCTTAATGAGAAACTGTTGTAGATGCTTTTTCCTTCACATGTTCTCTTAAAGCAGAAAGGTTTTTTAGCAGCACGCCAGGTTACTGAAATACTTCTTGTAAGCATTTTAAGTATTTATTGTATGTCTGCTGAACTTGAACTCACCAAAGAGTGAGACTGAGTTTTCCAAACACTCTACAAGCTTCCTACAGCAGCACATAAGGAAGCTATATACTCCATAGGTTTTTGTTTTAACATTATTGCATTGTACTGTCAAGTCTACAATAAATTTGAACTTTAAGAAATGCTATTCTCCCAAGATGTGGCAAAACATATTGCATGGGAAGTGCTTCAATACAATCTCCAAATGTGGTCTAAGGCACAGGCCAACAGATCTGCCTCTGTTCCCACAGCCTTGATGTGCACCATCAAACCTCCTCAAAAGGCCCTGCCTCCCTTTACCTTCTCCATAAGAACAGCTTAGCTTACAATGGATGCTCAGAGTACATCTGAACCTCTATGGAGCTCCTCCTCCTTTAGTTGGTCCTAAACAACTCCATATTAGAAGGTAATACTTTCGAGTACATCAGAAACAACACAGACTCGGAAAGCTTGCTATACATTACTCACCAAACCACCTGTGATGGATCAAGCAAAGTAGCCCAGAAATGCGTCCTTATAGGAATAGTTATGGACAGATTTGTTTAGCAAATACATGCTTATAATCACAAAACAATCACATGAGTAAAACTTAAGCAGCCAGTAAATGGCCAGCAAACAGTGACAATTTGTATGCTCCTCATACATGCCTCAGTGAACTGCCCAGTGCCGTCCGTACAACCGCACAATGGAGGTGTGACAAAAGAAGCCATTAGGGAAAGAACGGGAAATAAAATAACAGAAATAAGATGCCTCCAGAGGAATACATGGAGAGTCCTGATCAGGAAATAACTGCTGATTGGGTTCCAGGCAGGTGCACCGAGCTCCCTCTCATAGCACAAAGCATGGCTGCTGTGTGCATCACACTACTACAACAATAACAGTGCTAAAGCCAACTGGGACATGAAAGAAACACTGGAAGAATAAACATAGATTTTATAACCTGATTAATAATTTACTTATGCAGGCCATTTGTATTTCTATAGGAATAACACTGCTTTCCTGGAAACTGTCACAGATCCTACTTTCCAAGTGCTGGATATAGACTGTTGGGAGCAGTTTTTCTTGCTGATGTCCAACAAGGCATGGATGGCAGTTCTATTGTAGAAAGACAGAAAAAAAAGTAATCCAGCATTATTGTCAAGGGAATTTGCAAAACACTCTAAAGTGAAGCTCATCCCAGAAGTGAGAAAATAGTTTTCTTGATAAGGTGGATTCAACTTTGATCAGCTTTCAATAAGGTCACTTTGCTCCACCTTTGAAAGACAGCAACAATGGCAGCTTTAGGGGAACTGAAGGGATGCTGATCCATTACAAAGTCACCCATCTGTCACCCATGTCATTCACCTACATAAAATATGGCAGGCACGTTCTGGCGACCTCCAACAATTCTTTTTTAAGCATGCTGCTAACCAGGTCTGTTTTTACTCCCCAGTACTCAAAGTAAGGACAAAGGACAAAGCTCAGGACAAATAAGACAGAGAAGACTGGGGTGCCCAAGGATCCTTCGCTCACTGAATAGAGAACTGCTCATGGCAGTCGACACCTTCCAGCCGAGCAACTGCTGCCATGTTCTTCATAGTCTTTAAAAAAAATAAATAAGGAAATAAAGAAAAAAAAACAACTAGCACCAATTTGTGGCCTTAGAAACCATATGAAACAATCACCATATTATACTTTGAGCAGTTTCTGTATCAGAAAAATAGCCTTCGTGGTTAACCAGATAACTCCACATATATGATGAAAAACCCAAAGTCAGAAAATGTTTCAATTGGGTAAAAAACGATGGTAAGTTTTGCTACAAGGCATTTTTCTGCTCACAATGAAAGGTTGGTAGGTGGCAGAAGGAGACACCAGGCCATACCAGCTCCCCTGCAGGAGACAGCACGACACACAGCCACACAGCTCTTCTCAGTCAGACGACACAATTGGCAATCATCTCAATCCTCTGAAACCCAAGGGCTCAAAAGGGACATCAGAGGAGCTATAGAGCAAACTGCAGTTTTGTTTTTACCCCCCAATATAATGGCAAACTGTAAAAATGCTATGAAAGCACGCCACGTAGGGGTTTCTTATTGATGGTAGTGTTTAGTTCTTCAGGAGCAATGTTTCTTTTACTATGCCTCTCTAATCCTTAAATATATGTTATAATGGATAGCTGTAATATTAGATGTTCTCCTCCTTGTTATCTCTGGTTCTCCACACTCTCGAGCGCTTTAACAGAAAGAAAAAAAGGCAGCAAAAATCTGACAAAGAGAGGTGACTTCTGCCAAGTAGAGAAGTCAATGAAACAGATTAAAGAAAGTGGTGACTTAATACCATGCTCTTCTTGAAGAAACAGCAATGAAAAAACATCCTGTCAAAGTTGAAGGACGACAACGTGCTCTTCCACAGCTTTCCAAAAATAGCTGTGCATCTCTTAAATAAATACAAGTAGTCTCATTACACCCAACATTTCTTCCCCTAGAAGTGTCAGACAGCAGTCGCAGAGATATTAAGCTGTCATTCACATGCTGCCATACCCAAACCAAGACAGCTATGTTCCCTTTTCTCCTTGATCACATATCTCCATCTATAATAAAACCAAAGATCTCATGATTTATTCCTATACCTTTCACAGAAAAGCAAAGACATTTTTTTCACAGAACTGGGTACTAAAGAACTTAAAAGCTTTAAAACAGCTGAGTTACAAGTAAAAATCATATCCTACTGTTATTTCATATATAAAATTAGGATGATGTAAATAATTACTACTGCATTTTTTATTTGTCCTTATATATGTATATATACAGATAGCCAGATAGATCACAACAGGAAGGCCCAGAAGGACTGAGCACACTGACAGCAACACAGCATTGGCCACTTAACGTTCATTTTACATGTTGAAATGGGCTTAGAGATAAGCACAGAACACTGCCCAAACCATACATCAAAAAATAAAAAATAAAAAAATACTTATAAAGCTATAAAACCAGAATCAGCCAAATGTATTTTTATCATCTTATCTCCAGAGGAACATAAATGAACACTTTCTATATGGTAAGACAGCTCAAATTTGCAATACAGAAATCATGAAGGTCTTGTTTCAAGTCTCTCAGTGCTCACGTACGTGATGGAGTGGCTGCTGAAGCCTGAACTGAGGCCATGGAAGAAAGCTGCAATACATCAGCCTGCTCTGCAGAACCCCACTTCCCTTCTGAGATTCCTCCCACACCGACTGCTCTTTGGGCTGGCTATCACCATGTCTCAGTATATAAGACCGTCATAAAACCATCTGCAGAGAACTCCTCAGCTCAAATCTTGTCTGTCTTCTCCACATGAACTTCACTACGGTATAATTTTAGAATTCCATCAGCAAGAAATATGAACACAGCTGAATAGACAAAAATAACAGCAGGGCATCTGTAATTCCTCACAGGGCAAAGAGGAGAAGCATTAGCTTGATGAACCACAGTTTAAGTTAACACACTATTTTTAAAAGCATCTATGCAACTTGGATGTTCTTTAAAAATTTTATGTTCACCCTTTTGTTTCTGGAGATGACCATAATGTCATACCTCTGGAACACAAGGTGAAACAGCAATGAGATAGGAAAGTCCTGCTTCAAAATACAAGGAAATGCAGGGACACCAGACCGTCTACAGATGAGTCAAAACAGTAGGCATGAATTTTAATTCATTAATAAATAAAGCATTATAAATAAAGCAATAAAGACACTTACATTTGTGCATGTATTTTTAACAGCGCTGTAACAATTTATGTAGCCTGTCATATATTTGTGTACTTATATACACATACAAGCACAAGTTTAATTCTCATTCTCTGGGAGGAACAATCAGTATCCTTGAAAGCCAAAGGAAACAAAGGTTTTCATACCAAAACCAGCAACTATTTCCATAAGGAATATTACAGTTAAAAAACAACACCAAAAACCAAGTCTTTCAGTTACTCTTGGTAGATTGTCAGACACAAGACAAATGAAGGAGTATAAATGCAAATGAATTGGACACTCTTATAGCTTTAAAGTTCCAAAACTCTTCAAAGTGTTTTTACTAAGAAATACGAAGCAGTGTGACAGTTGCAGAAACCACAAAGGGACACCAAAAGACTGCTCCACTGTGCCCACGAGTCACGTCAGGGTAGGTTTCCAAGCTTCACCTGGAGTTAAGATACTACACTGGGGCAGAGGGAATATCTTTTACTGTCAGAAAAAGTGTCAGTCAGCCTTAGAGAAGTCTGTGTTTTTCCTTTTAGTTACTGACGTTTCTTCTCCTCCATAGCCACTCAAATAGTTCTTCAAGACTCACTAGCAGAGGGGAGATAATTCATTGCTTTCTTGACTGCATTTAGTGGAGCAAAAATAGAGAGCACCAACAAACAGAACTTCTGAAGATGTTAAAATAAGTTACAATCAAACAAAGAGCCTGAACTTGAACACCACCGTGAGGTGTGTCATACAGTCATACCCATGGGTAACTGTACTCTCACACCCCTTAGCAGAAAGCTTGCAAGAGAATGAGAGCAGCTCCGAGCTGCCATGTTGGTAAGGAGCCTCACCACTCCGTAACTCACTTCCCCACAGCTCAAAGAAACAGTTCACATTTCTTCATGGTCAGGTAAAAGCATTGCTTATTGTTTGACGCTTGCCCAGAGAATCCCATGCAAGCAATTCAGACCGGAAGAATCAAGTCATCCTGGCAGAAATGAGATCGTGGGCCTATACTGTTGTGCCACTGCCTTCATAACAAAGCATTCTCAGCTTTCCAATATTGTAGCAATGTACTTACAGGCAAATTACTTGAATTCCACCAGAGATGAGGAAAGCAAAGTGACTTTTTGGCACAGATGTGAGCAATGTATGTAAGTGATTCCTGGCTGTGTCCCTGCATGCTGCTTTATGAGGTATCAGTTCAGGAAAAGCCATCCTTTCTACATCACTGTAATGAGGTCCCTTCTACATCACATCGATGAGGAAAAAAAAAAAATAAATAGTGTCAACTGTGTGCTGTTACTGCTGATTTCAGCAGAAGCATCAGGGTTATAATTGACTCATGGCTGTTACACACAGCTGCAGCTTCAGGCCAGGGTGCTGAATGACACCTCATTTTAATCATAGGTCAAGCAGGCACTGACTGCAGATGACCGA